TGTTTTTACGAGGATGCAATTTTGTAACGTAGAACTACATGTGCATCTCAAAAACCGTATCGAAGTTTTAATGTTAAAAAACCCTTTTGATTCATCATCACGACCTCGATACATGTTCATGAAAAATAAAAAGATTTTAAGTTTAATAAATAGTATATTTTACAATATATTATCTACTCTGTTCATTTTTAAGATTTTCATATGTTTTTAGGTCTACTTGATTTTAACTATTTTTTAAATTTAAAATTTTATAATTAGATATAAAAATAAATTTTTAGATAATTCTAAAAACATTTTACATCAAAATTACATACGATGATAAAATTTGAAGGTGCACCTTACCTCTGCACTAAGTGCACCCTTAAAAAAATATTCCTGCACTAGCGATAACCATGTGTTCGTGTTTTCAGCACCAAATGCACACAAAATGCACAACTAACTCTCTCTCTCTCTCTCTCTCTCTCTCCCTCCCTCCCTCCCAATGGATAATGGTTATAGAAGCACCTCGGCTTCACTTTCTTCCATATACACCTCGTCTACCCCCTCAAATTCCATAATGTACGACTGCTTTTGAAGAAATTTTTTTATTCTTTCTTGTGGTGGGGGGAGTTGAATGCCTACAGGGCATGATTGATTGAAAATTAGGGTCTTTGGGGAATCTGCAAAGCCATAGGTCCACCGAACCTGATTTCCAAGGGTCATTTGGGCTTCAAATCCATCAAATTGATGTTCCACAAAACAAAAATTGGATCAGTCGATCTTTGAACTCCGAAGAATTATTCATATGATCATCCTGAGAGTCTAAGATGGGTTATTTTTAACAAAAACCCTATTCTAATTTATTACTTTCTCATTTGTTAAGAGCGTTTTTTTAGTAAAAATGGCATGGGGCCTTGGCAGTAGTACTGTTGAGTCTCATGATGAGATCTTCAACTTGATTCTCACTGAAAAGTAGGGGCCCAAATCCCCAATGACATGCCACTTTTAAAAAAAAAGAGTAGAATATTACGTTTTAGGTTCAATTCCTACCGACGGTAAAGGCCCTCTCCCCACTGACTCATTTTAAAAAAAGTGCTTATTTTAAAACTTGCGTAAGTTCAAAGATTGGAGACTCAAGAAGATAATCCTCCCTACAGGTTTCACTTTCACATTTCTAAGCGACATTCTCATGGTCAAGGATTTGAAGATGGCAAAAGTATTTAAATCTTGAAAGGACACAACAACATTTGAGGAATTCTATTTTAGATTTGTGTTCAAATAATGACACATCTTCAACCAACAAATTTCAAAATCAACGGTCATTGATGATTGTGACCTCGTGTATCTAAAATAAATTATCCCATGGTATACATTTCCATCTTAAAAACATACCATTGGATCAAGATTAGGTAGGGAAATCCAAGGTAACCTAATATTTATATATGACACGCATGTGAATTTTTTTTTTTAACCACGGTCTCACTCCCCATTAGGAACTATTCTGTTTTGCATTTTCATTAAGATATACTAACCACCCAGAAATGTTTAAGCCAGTAGGGATTTAAAAAATAAAAGCAAAAAATTTTTAAAATCTAAAATAACATTAAATATCCATCTGACTTCATTTAGCAACTCTAACCAGTGTTTAAAAAAACGCCGAGTCGAACCGGACTCGCCCCGGTTCGACTCGGGAATCGCCATGGACGGATCGAATCGGTGAAAAAAACGGGAATCGTCCGGTTCTAGAGAGAATCGGACGATTTTGCACAGTGACTCACTGATTTCACTATACGGAATCGGCGATTCCGTACAGTGAATCGGCGAGTCCCGTACAGATTTTTTTTTTTTTTTTATTTGTAATTCATGATAGATTTTTTGTAATACTTGATCGATTTTTTTGTAATCCATGATCGAATTTTTTTTTTTTGTTTTGTAATCCATGATCGAATTTTTTGTTTTTTTTTTTTGTAACCCATGATAGAATTTTTTGTAATCCATGATCGATTTTTGTAATCCATGATCGAAATGTTTGTTTTTTTTTCTTGTAATCCATGATTGAATTTTATTGTTTTTTTTTTTTTTTTTTGTAACCCATGATAGAATTTGCTGTAATCCATGATCGAATGTTTTATAATCCATGATCGAAATGTTTGTTTTCTTTTTTGTAATCCATGATCGAAATGTTTGTTTTTTTTTGTAATCCATGATCGAATTTTTTGTAACCCATGATAGAGGTTTTTTATAATCCATGATTGAATTTTTTGTAATCCATGATCGAATTGTTTTTTCTTTTTTGTAATCCACGATCAAAGTTTTTGTTTTTTTTTTTGTTTTTTTTGTAATCCATGATCGAATTTTATGTAATCCATGATCGAATTTTATGTAATCCATGATCGAATTTTTTGTAATCCATGACAGAATTTTTTGTAATCCATGATCGAATTTTTTGTAATCCATGATC